CCTTGCAGGGTCAGCACAAGCAGAGAGGCAGCAAAACCCAGGGTTATGGTAGCAGATTGGAAAAGGCAGCCCAGCAGAAGTGGAAGCTTCTCTGGGCACAGAGCAGGGGCTCTGAATTCAGGCAATTGCTGAGGCAAGCTGGTCCTTGGCTTATCAATGCTCCAGTAGTAGCCAGAAGTGCAGTGGCAAAACACTCCATGCTGGCCCTGCAGTCAGCTTCTCTTCCATGTTTTGCACCACTACTTTCCTGTGAGATTTCTGAAAGTGCTGTGTATCTTGTGTTTCTACTGAGATCCCTGCTTACTTTAAAGGGGTCGTTGTGACACCTCAAACCCCCTTCAGTTTGATGGCTTTGGGGTCCTGAGAGAAGACACATCGCATGTAGTTTAGGTACAAAGGCCAAGAGAAAGGGGAAGGGGAAGGAAGAGAAGGAAAGGGGAAATTGAGACGAGGAAAAGAAAGGATATAAATCATGAAGCATATGCCAAGAGTGTGACAAACAACAGGTTCATAAAGAAGTAATTAAATTCATGATCTCGAACTTAAAACTTTAAGTAGAATGAAATCTTCTGATTTAAACCAGCCACAATCCAGGAAATTCAGGTTTAAGAATGGGATTCTTTTAAAGTCATTTTATCCTAGCTTGGTTTATCAGTATACTTACCAGGAGCAAATGTGCCCTCTGCAAATTATACACATCATGAAATCTCAAGCAACCCTGCCAAGACCTGGTGATAAGTTGCTATAACAGCAGCTTGGGGTTTGAGAAATGCACTTTCCTTCACACTCATGGCAACAGGTGACCTAGTGGTAATGACATCATTAACACGCTTCACCTTTTTAAGCTCTCCCGCTGGTGTTTTACTTATACTGGTTTATGGAGGAATCATTTCATTTTGCTGTTTCAAGTCCCTTGCGTTCTTAGTGGTATTCTTAAGAAAATAAGCAGAAAAGTGGAAGGAGACCATCCTCTGGGATAAGTGATTTGGGAGGAACCATCTGATTCCATCAGCAGATACTGTCTTGTACGAAAAAGAACTTAGGAGTTTTTCTAGCAGATCAGATAAGATTGAGGTCAATCTAATTCAGCTTTCCCTTCAGGAATTGGCAATAACTGCTTTTTAATAAGCAGTTATCAGGTACTTACCACATTTTCTAACAGATTCTCCGGGTAGATATGCTCGGATTTGTTATGCAAATGTAGGGATGTATATTAAAAAAAAGGAATAGTGTCTCTATTCATTACTTGACTGAGTCCTTCTGGACTCTTCACTCCAGATATGCAAGCAGAAGGATGTTTTGTTGCTGTTGTTGCTATGTCTCTGTGTCCTTCTCTATGTACCCTTCTGGGTACTTATTCTTCAGAAAATGCTACTAAATGAGTTGTTTACCTCTTCTTTTCAAAAGCTATTTTTCCTATACCTCTCAATTCTTTTTATTGTGTAAATACAAAAGAATCGAAACCCACTATCTTCTATTTAACAATTGTAACTTAATAACACCCTACAACTGAGATTTTTGTTTACAAAAACATTTGTCCTTGACTACTTGCTCCCTACAGCAGCAATATGAAAACAAACCTATTAAGTCCTGAAAGTTATTTAAAAGAAGAAGAAAAAAAAAGACAAACCCAAAGTACTGGTAGTACAGCATCTAGCAGCAAACAGTACAGTATATGGGAGCATTTCTGAACCATATGGGGCCAGATTCCATCTCCACTGACACCACTTGGACATTTATCGCTGAATTCAAAAGGATCAGGCCAAGACTCCCACGCTGAAAAAGAGGCTTTCAGATGGGATTTGTGTTGAATATCCAAACAAATCTAAGTATTTGACACCTTTATTATACTCTAAATGCTTGGATACCACAACAATACAAGACAGAACTGGGTTGTCTCAAGAAGAGAAAGGAGAAGTAATTGCTGTCTTCAACTACCTAATGGGAGGTTACGGAAAGGGTGGAGCCAGACTCTTCTGGGAAGTTAAACACAAAAAGACAGAAGGCAATGGACACGGGTTGCAACAAGGAAAATTGCAAATACATAGAAGGAAAAGTTGTATCAGGCATGGCAGTCAAAAATTGAAATGCGTTGTCTGGAGAGGCTATGGAATCTCCATCTTGAAGATGTTCAAACCTTGGCTGCGTGTGACCCTGAGCAACCTGGATTTGGCCCTGCTCTGAGTGGAGGATTTGGACCAGATGTTCTGGGAAGGGAAGGGAAGGGAAGGGAAGGGAAGGGAAGGGAAGGGAAGGGAATCTGTTCAGTTTTGCCTGTTCAATCCTTATACAGTACATTCCTACACTGTAAAGAGACAGTGACAGATCGTTCTGTGATTTATTTGTTCAGAATATGATTTCCATCTGCTAGGAAAGTATTTGGCCAGTATACGGCTGTAACTTTTTTTTTTTTTAAAGTTATACTAAGTCTAACTGTAAACTCATGTTATGAAGCCCTTGTTGGAAGTCAAGCAGGCACAAGTTAGAAATGGATGTTTGAAAAGCTTTTCTTCTTCAAGAAGACTCAAGTGACTCGTACCTTGTCTGAAAACAGTACAACAGCAGTTAAACAAAAATTGCTGAGAAAATGGGGCTTGAAAATAAGTTAGTTTGCTGTAGCTAGTAAAATTAAATGTACCCTGTGATTATCCACACCAATTGTCTCTGCATAAGATTTGTCTTTTACTGTTTTTTCACTGTACTGGGAAAGTGGAAGCATGATAAAATCCACATCAAGGGAATGAAAACAAGGATTCTATTTATGGAATGATTGTGGTCCTCAAGTATGAATTTAGAAGATACTAAGCCTATTCAGGCCAAATCTTCAAACAGCCTAACTTGTGTAGGCCTAGCTGAATCCAAACACCGTTGTACCAATTTGTGCATGTTGAGGATCTGGATTTACGGGACTGAAATGTTACTAACTACAATTCCCAATGTTCTTGGTACAGAAGCTGGCTGAGGCCCAAGAATGCCCAGGTTATCGGTACACCAACAAGCTACAGTAGGGCACGGACGTATGGTACAGCCATTACTGTGGCGATTTTGCCCACATACTGCTGTTACTCTCTATTACCTCATGGCAAACATAAGATGTTCTGTACCTTCGTCAGCAAGCAAGCTACTTCCTTTGTGGTTAAAGTAGGGGCAGATGTCCCAGACTAGCTCCTTGCAAGTTGATCCTTAAACTACTTACTGGCCATTAGGCCATTAATCCATACCTTTTTTTTCTGGTTCAGCATGGGGAAAGACAATGTCAGAAATACCTGTACAGACTAGAAAATAAAACAACTCCTCTGTCTCAACAAGCTTACCAAAATGACCAAACACATTTCACAGACTTACACATCTTGCTCCTGTCACACCAAATGCCACCACGCCTCTTGAGACAGCCACCTGCCAAGTTTCATTGTTCATTTGATGCATGCTTCACAGGTCTGTATCTTCCCCGGGATTTTTAATTTTACTAACGTAGCGCAAGTAGTAACAAATAGGATCTTCAGCTACAAACGCAAACATTAATTCTCCTATGCAACGATGGACCGCTTTAAGAATAAGCCTTTTGTAATGCAAACAAGAACTGCATTCAAGGAAGATCTTCGCTTACTACAAATACCTCATTTGCTGTGGCGTAGCAAGTGTACCTCCATCATTTACTTCTCCACCTGTCTAACATACCAAGGCCAGTCCCTCAGCAGAAGCATGCTAGCCTACCTCCATCATTTACTTCTCCACCTGTCTAACACAAGGCCAGTCCCTCAGCAGAAGCATGCTAGCTGTGTTTCTGATCCCTCACAATTCTCTGTGTAAAGTGGATATTCCAGAAGTCTTCACAGGACACAGGAGTCTTTCCATTAACTGTGGTATGTTCAGTCCCCTAGGATGGTCCAAACATCACAAGAGACGTCTGAAGTATGAAAAAAATAGGAAAATTATTCTTACTACAATTGCTTTTTAACCAGATATGGAAACATCCTGCCTAGCCAACTTTTCATAGAGCGTCCACCTATAGTTTTGTATTTCATGAACATCGCAAAGTTAAAGATTTTATTTAAAAGAACTTCATTTAAAAGAAAAATAGTAAATGGCACATCATGTAATTGCTATTTATTTTCATAAACATGAGGTATTTCAAAGTGCTATAAGACGCAGCACTAAATGTACATCGTTGGAAGAAATGAAACACAGAACTTTGCAGTTACCCAGTTCTATGCACCAAACATTAACAAATACATTAACTGGAAGAAACAGGCTAGGAAAAGGCATATATAGTAAATTTCTTTACAAAAGTTTCTTAGTTCAAAAAAGTGATAAAGTAATATCTACTCAAAACTTTCACAACTCATTTTCATACGAAAATATAAGTATCAAATTTAGTTATGTATCAGCATCATACTAAAGTATACAGGCAATGTAAGAATTAGTACAGTACATAACAGAGATTAACAATATATTTGTATACAAAAACATGCTCCTCAAACATTGAGGTATTACAGTACTTAGGTATGAACTTCCAGTCTAATACTGGTAGCAAAAGCCACCTCTCATAACCCAAGACATGTACAAAAGGCAAGTGTGTAGATGGTATTTACAGAAAATTCCCACAGGGGTACAAAATGCCAACCCCTAAAGTAACATCTGTTAGAACATAAGCACCATAAAACTTAGGAATGAACATTTTAAAACTCAACTAGATGTCATCAGCAGCTCCAAATGCTCACAACAATTTAGAAAAAAAAAAAATCCCCACCATCTACAGTTCTTAAGAAAAACAAAGGCAGTCCATTGTTGTTTGGTAGTCTTGCAAAAAACTCCTTGCAAGAGCATCCATTTGCTCCGTACCCGGATAATAGAGTTTGTCAATTACTTCAGGGACTGGATTGAAAGTAAAACCAACATTCTTAACGTCAAAAAACACAATTTTTTTTAAAGAATCAAAAATGTGCAAAGTGGCAATGACTGTCCTGGTCAGCCAAAACAAAACAAAACAAAACAAAAGTTTAGCAAGTCCGCTTGTATTCTATTTTCTTTAGCAATTGTTGTTGTCTGGCTTGCAATTTTTCCTTTTCTAGCAATAGCTTCTGCTCTTCTGCCTGAAGGGAATGAACATATTCAGTGGCTTTTTTCAAGATCACAACTTTTGCAGCTTTTTCATTTTTAACCAGTTCTGGAACATGGTCCCTTAGTGTGAGGAAACTTGACCGTAGATCATTACGCCGTTGACGCTCCAGGATATTATGGTTGCGTCGACGTTCGCTATCCTCTGAATCAGAGTTTCGAGGACTTGAACTCTTAGACTTTGGTTGGATCGTGGGTTTTACTGGACGGGGCACCTCGGTTTTTAACTTTTTCTGCGGTGGAGCATCTTCACTCTCCATGTATGGAGAAGGAGCGGCATAATTATGCTGCTGGTGAATTGGTGCGCAGCGCTTTAAAATCAGTTCATTCTGCTGTGTCCTGACTGACGGAAAAGCGGCATTTTTAGGACGCACTGTAATAGTAAGGGTGGTAACAGCCTTGTTGGAGGAGGAGCGTCTTTTCTCCACTGTCACAACATCTATTTCTTCTTCTTCATCCTCTTCTTCCTCATCTTCATCATCTTGTGGCAATAGAAAATGGAAAATAAAATGGACGTTATTCTCACAGAAAATACTCCGGACAAGCATCAACCCTGATGTATTTATTGATAAAATATGTACAGTAAAAGCAGCAATGAAATAACTTATGGCAGAAATAGGGTGTGCCCACCATCTGTAGTCAAGATATAGATCTGGAAAAGTATGTAATATACATGAAATGACTGAAGAACAGTGATTTCTGAAAGTTTAATAAGTTTAATGAGCTTTTTTTAAAAAACTCTTCCAATTTTCAATCAAAGCGGGGCTACCACCCACATAATTGCAGAGGCAGGGAAGAGCTGAGAGACAGAATGTACGTCTTTTGAATGGAATCGTAGAGCTGCGGTACAAAAGGCATGCACAGTGCCACAACACAGCCCTCGCTTGGTAGAAAAGCAGCCGGAAAGCGAAACAATCGCTGGGTTTGTTCTGAGGCAGAAGGTGAAGCTGCTCCAGCCGGGGACCCTTTAAGCCGGCGCTTGGTGCTCTGCCAAGAAGACAGCTGTTGGAAGTGCTTCCTCACCCAACGCTGTCAAACCAGACATTAAAGGGACAGCAGGCTTCGAAACCCGGAGCAGATCACCAGGTTTATGGCGATGGTCCTATGAACCAGCCCAGCTACACACACAAAACCAACTTTCAGCCCAAGTGGACTTCTCTGCAGGCACGGGCAGGAGATGTTTCTAGGCCCTTTAGGTTCTGTCAGGGCAAGCGCCACTCGGAGGGGTCTCCAGCCTCCTCCAGCCTTCCCAAATCACGCCTAAGGGCACGCACAGTCACCCCCCTCCAGCCCCGTCCCCAGGGT